ATTGTTGTTTGGCGGGTCCGGGCTGGGGATTCGAACCCGCCACCTTAGGTGTACATGGCTGGCGCCTTAGCCGGTTGAGCTATAGGTGCCGAGCCGACAATTTAAAATTTCTAGGACAACACTAAAACACAATCATTAGCTCCAGAGCACTTTCATCCCTGGGGCTTACTGAGACGATTTCCATACAGGAGTCACACTTAACCCTTGAGTTCATGCTCTTTAACACCTGTACTTCTCTCCCCTCGTGTTAACAGGGCTTAGTGACTTGCTTCTCACACCGCACGTAGAGGAAGTAATAGTGTGTGGCTTCCAAGACTAGGCTATAAAAAAAGCACTGTGGCTCCTCTCTTGGGTCACGCTTGAGGAAGCCAGCTGTCACGCTGTGAGAACAGAAGCCCTATGGAGAGGCCTATGTGGCAAGGAGATGAGGCTGCCCGGCAACAGCCACTGAGTCAGCCTGCAGTGACTTCTAGCCTCACTTGACCCTTCAGACGACTCTGGTGATAGCTTTCTTTTTTTTTTTTTAAGAGAGATGAGTACTCCCAGGGTGGAGTACAGTGGCACCAACATAGGTCACTATAGCCTCAGACTCCTGGACTCAAGCCTTCCTTCCACCTTACCCTCCCAAACAGCTGAGACTATGGGCATGGACCGCCATCTTTGGCTATTTTTTTTTTTTTTTGAGACAGCTTCACTATGTTGTCCTTGGTAGAGTGCCATGGCATCACAGCTCACAGCAACCTCAAACTCTTAGGCTGAAGCGATTCTCTTACCTCAGCCTTCTGAGTAGCTGGGACCACAGGTACCCTCCACAACACCCAGCTGTTTTTTTGCTTCAGTTGCCATTGTTGTTTTAGCTCCCCAGGGCCAGGTTCGAATCCACCAGCCTGGGTGTATGTGGCTGGCGCCCTACCCACTGAGCTGCAAGCACCACCTTTTAAAAAATTTTTTGTAGAGACATGGTCCTGCTATGTTTTCCAGGTTGGTTTAAAGTTTCAGACCTCAAGGATCCTTCAGCTCAGCATCCTGAGTAGATAAATTAGACTTGTGCCACCATGCATGCCCCTGACAACATCTTGATTGAAATCTCATGGGAGATCCTGGGCCAGAACCTCCTAACTATGTCACTCCTGAACTCCTTATCCACCAAAACTGTGAGATAATAAATATTTGTTCTTTTAAACCACTGAGTTATGAAGTAATCTATTGTAGCAATAGATAGTAACCTTGTTTAAACAGAAAAGTAGAAAAACAAGATGAGGAGACTATTTAACTTAACACACTGTGTTATGCAGTACAAGCCCCCGGGATGTACTGCTAACAGGTGTACATCTGTAAGAGTAACTGCTGTGTTCTAGACATAGAAACACCCCTCTAGCTTTATCAGAGTGGGTAAACAGGACTTCAAAAGCTGGTTTTAGAGAATCAGCCTAAAAAATACTTTAAAAATACAATTGCTTGACCTATATTCTGTGTCAAGAACAGAACAGAACAGAGAACTAACCTTTTGCAAGTGGAGCAATCGTAATTTCACTATCTGCGAGATTCACAAACACATCGTAGAGGTCTGGTCTGTTGCTTACCTCCAAGTCTACAAACCCAGCGATATAACCTGTGTTACAAAGGTGAAGAACATCAGTTATCACCGGAGTGGGAAGAAATACTGAACATATAAAAAGAACTGAGTCTAGTTGTTTTAGCTGGCCAGGGCCAAGTTCTAGAACTGAGTCTAGAAGCTCAGCAGCTGCTCTTTCCCACTGCATCGTTTATTAGGAAATGTTAGCTGTACCCTGTGGCATTTATTAACAGTACCTTATTGTTAGCCACTTGAAGAAATTCACACAACCCAGACCTACTCAGATGTGAGAAAATGGGGCATGAAAGAATGATATGCCTGATTACTGAAGCAAGGAAGTGACTTTTCAATAAATTTCCTGGGCCAGAGAAAAAATTAAATTGGATACCAAACTACCAAACTTAAACGCTACACCAAAAAAAAAAAAAAAAAAA